GATTATTCTCGTCTGGTGTTTCACCAATTTTAATTGCATGTTCTTTCTCTATTTCTATAGTTTCAACTCATGTGTGTCCTGCAACTGCTTCAACGACTTTACCAGCTTCTCGCTCACGGGTTTTGAATGAAGCCCGGGTCATGGTTGGGATGTTCATAACTGACAAGATGCCATTCAAATGCGTCTCACCAATTCCGGTATGAAGACTGGCTAAAACTGACTTTGTATTGATGTCATATGCCATTGGACCAGAGGCTCCAGACTTGTGGGCGAGTGATGTTTCAACAACATTGGTTTGACTGCAAAACTGACATTGAATATATAGCTTGCTAGCTAGACCATATAACTTTTCTTGTTGTACATTGCTCAATGACAGTGGTCCTTAAAAATAATAGAGTATTGCCATTGTTTTTATTGTTTATTTCATACCTTTACATCAATTCATAATTATAATATATTTTTGTTTGTGGAAACAAAACTATTATATGTTTTATCTTCATGCAAACATAGAAAGAACTTATAATATATTTATACAAATTTAATCAACTGACACTTGTACATTTTGAAAACAGTACTTTATTTTATAACTATATAGTGACCAAATTATATCAAAATTTTGATTCTAAATAATTCTGTATTTGAAGTGGAGAAATTAAATGCTTCACATTTGCCTTTGTTTACCTTCTTTGCAAAATGGACAACTCTCCAATCCTTTTCTCAGTTGGTTTATGTCAACAATTCGGCTTCCTTGAGGTAAATTCTCTTTTATTTCTTGTTTTGCCTAATGCCAAATCATGGAGTACGTGAATTATAAATTTTTAAACAGACCTAAATGTTTACAATGATAAAAACGTTTCGGTGTTTACGTTGCCTACCGTGCTTTCCCTTGTATTTATCACGATGTCCGTCGCTGGTTCAAACTCTTCGTTTTCGTTTTTGTTTTCCTCAACCTCGCTTGAAATATTTCCATTTTTCCAAGATTGAAGCCCCTCTTGTAATTTTATAATATTACCTCGATTTCTTTTTTGTATTTTCTCAAATTTTCCCGTCAAAGAACGATTTTTAAAATGCGCTGCCATGTTTGTTTTTAAATTTTTATATATCAGCATTTAAAAATCCCGCGCCGTTCCCGCTCGCGCGACATTTTCTCGCACCACGCGATCCTGTCCCGCAACGCGCGAATTGTTTATCGTTACCAGTCCCATGCTTTAACAACTGTAGGGAGCCACCTTAAATGCCTAATATGCTGATTTGAATGCCAAATATGTTGATTTGAATGCCAGCTGTTTTAATTTTAATTTAAAAGTCAATTGTATTGATTTTAATACCAAATGTTTATATTTGAATGTGATACTGAAAACTAAAATTGAGAGAAATAGTAATACCTACATTAATTCCAACCTAACTAAAACAAAAAAAGCTACCTACAAGGATCTAAACCACAGGATAAATTACTGTAAACTTAGCTTAAGTGGAGACATTGAAGTCAACCCTGGACCTGCCTTTGTTAATCCTGGTAAAACTATACAAGCTCCTTATAGTCAAGGTAATGTTGATGTCTTTGACGAAAATGCAGGTCGACAATGTGTCTCTATAAGTTTATGTTCCTTGATATATGTACATGGCAATGGTTCTATATTAGACACAAGTGCTTTAGTTAACATTATGAACTTGGACAATGAATTATATTCCATGTTGTCAAGAATATCAAGACAAAGTTATTTATTACTTACGGAACTACCCACAATGGTAACGGTTGAAGATATTGATTATTCCTTTGAGTTAAGTGAGAGTTACACTGCTAATCTTCATTTCTCTACTGCGAGTGAAAGTATTCCATTTGTCATGCCTTTAGATTCTGCTTTAGAGCAGTTACGGCAAGAAACATTTCATTTATTTTGACAATTGGACATAATACTGTATCTTTCTTTACGGACTCCAATGGTTTATTGAAGGTATTTGATTCTCATGCAAGGGTCTCGTTTGGTATGCCTCATCCTCATTGGACAAGTGTATTGCTTTCTGGTTTTTGTTGTCGAAATATTGATTTTCTTTGGATAAATCTACGGTATTAGCCGCTCAAACTGTTCTACGAACTCTATTGCTCCCCACTCCCTAGTCTATTACACCATAGCGCGTATGTCCTCATTTTCAAGCAGGTCAGTGTGAACGCCTGAGCAGGCGTCTTGTTTTGTTTATAAATGTAGATTATCTAATTACAGATGTGTGACTTTTGTATACTTTCTGTCTTTTCTTTTGCAGGAGGAAAAATCAAGATTGGCGAACTTCAAACAGTAAAAAATCCGCATCCGTAAGAATAACTTCTGAAGAAATTCAAGAGGAAAATCAGGACAGGTCTGGAATGGTACAGGGACAGCCTTGAGTTTGCTTAGAATATGTTTGCCAACACATGAACTCTTGGTGAAGATGGAAAAGTTTGTGAAGAAGACATTCTCTAGTTGTGTGACATACTCCAGGTATGGTATTGTGGGTGCATTCAGCCCCCCCACCCAAAAGGAACCTCTTCAGACTCATATGCTTTAAAATAGCATAGAAGTTTCCGACTGTCGTCTAATCCATGTGACACAAGAACAGCTTTGCATGTTTCACACTGCTGCTTGGTAAAACATTTCTTCAACAGATACCCAGAGGCATAGGCGATGGCATTTTCTCTTGTCAAACTGGAACTTACGCTGTTTTCTTTGTAATCCATAGGTCCAATGTCCAACGTGTTTGGTTGAGCAACCAGGGTTTGGTTGAGATGGTGGAGCAACCAGGGTTGAAACTTTCGCCAGCTTGCGCTTCTTACCAGTGCATTGAGCCAGTAGATTGTCCAAGTCGTCAATACAATTGCCAGCATAGGAATTAAGAAAGGAGCTAAAGAACGATTTCCTAAAGGCTCAAGTGAATTGGACAGGTGTCGGGTTATCGCTATTCCCTCCCTGCTGGCGTATTGAACCAAAGAAATTCTCAATGGGATCTGTATTTAATCTTCTAGTAAGGAGAAAATTAAACTCATGACTAACTTTAAGGTGCTCCCAAATTAAAAGAATGGCATTAATGGTATGCAACCACCCCTTTAGGCACTTAATCCTGTTAGTTACTTCTTTGCCATCAGGATCTAAAACTTTCAAGCCCTTTAAAAAACTTATGGCTTCCTTAAAAAAGCTAATATGCGGAGAATTATCATTTAGGGCACATTTGAACTTTTTTGCAGAATGCAAAGTTGAACAACTGTTGACACAGAATCAAACTTTAAAAGCAGCTCTGCTGTTCCCATTGCTGAAGATATGGAAGGGCCCCTACACTTACATATGTGCATATACTGGCTGCTACAGTGTGACTTAATACTTGGGTGGCCAACTTCACCTTCATTTTACAAAAATTGTTAGGATGTATATGCTTTTCAGTCAGTTTCGGAGCAGCTCTGATACGATAGGTAACGATTTAATTGGGGTTTTTTTCATAAAGGTTTTCAATGTCCTTCCAACCGCCAAATAAGGCCTCGCCAAAAGACAACAAGGAGTCATCTAAAGAAAAACAAAAAAATAAAATAAGACAGATATACGCTTCAGTGTTTCCTACAGTTCAGCGTTTTCTGTCAACACCGCAGCTGATCATCCCCAAGACAAAGATTTTTTTTAACATTATATTTCCACAAGAGCAGAGGTGTAACTTAACACTTGGCCGAGGCAAGTGAATATCAAGTAAACGTTTTATCTTGCTTGCCCGATTGGGCAAGTTGCCTTGCCACAAAAAGCTGGGCATCTTTAAGTTTATGTTTTCATTGTCGGATAAATTTTTATAGGGCATGTACTTGATTCAATTTTTTTGTGGGCCAAAGCTAGATCTGAGGCAGTATAACATAGCCATATAGAGCAGTGGGAGAACGTGACATGTTGTCCATTTAATTTATATCCCGTATCTAGGTACCCCAGTGGCCGTCGTCTGATGGCAAGTGAATTTTATTCAGGGCAACCATCTTTCATGTTCAACTTGCCCTGAGGACAAGTGTTCAAAAAAGTAAAGTTGCACCACTGAAGAGATTTGATAACGTTTTGGAGTGGTTATGTGCATTCAAACATCAGAACTGCAATTTGTTGTAAATTTGTTGGCACAAATTTTGAACTTTGTTGGCACAAATTTACCATGTTTTTTTCATAAGATTATAAATTTAAGTGACTACACTTCGGTTGGAACTTTGCACTTTGGTCGGACTTTGGTCATTCAACTGAATAAATATTTCTTTAAAATGTTTTGGCCAATTGAATCTTCAATCCTTGTATTGTTATGTTTTGGGCAAAACTAGTTTATTTGTATTTATTTATTTCAATTAAAATACAAATTTGGTATTTTTGTTACCAAAAGTCGTTTGGTTCAGTTCTTGAATCCGATAGGTTGAATGAAAAAGTGTGCAATTTGTCCTGAAGCAATCTTAGCTCAAATCACACTCAGATTGCAGAGCCAATCAGATTGTCGGAAACTCCATCTCAAAACGAGGTCAGCTAATTTGACTTTTATAGTCGTAATAGATCTCAAAATAAAGTACTCAGCTAATTTCACTTTTATAGTCGTAATAGGCATAATTACAATTCTGGGGGAGCATTTCCCCATACCCCCTAGAAATCTTGTGCCTTCGGCACTCGCCCCAAATATTTTGCAAAGTTTTCGCCGCTGTGCATAATACTCATACATAAGGTATCGTAGCATTTTTGTTTGTGTCGAAGTCATTAGTTCCACTCTGGTGTGCTCAGGAAACACAGAAATTTGCTACACTTCAATACAGTTGGAGTGGAAAATGGCCTTTAGGGTGGGGGTTAGGATCAGGGTTTTATATTTTAAAGTTACCTAGGACATGATTTTTAAAGTAAACAATTTTATATTCACTGGTTTCATTTGGTTAGGGTAGGAATAGGGTGGGGGTTAGAATCAGGGTTTTATATTTTAAAGTTACCTAGGACATGATTTTTAAAGTAAACAATTTTATACTCACTCGTTTCATTTGATTAGGGTAGGAATAGGGTGGGGGTTAGAATCAGGGTTTATTTGTAGGTTAGGGAGAGTTTAAAATCTTTTTAATAAAGGATCTTCGTTCTTGAATCTTGATAAATAAAATGATGTCAGGTGAGTTTGCTTGCTAACATAAACAGGTCTGAAAAATTCACACACGTACGGTTTTTTAAATGAAATTATAAACAATTTAACAGAAACTCAGACTTGTATCAAAATGTTGTTTTGTCTTTTAATAAATACGTAAAAGTGTCAAACAAGCCCAGTTAAGCGAATTTCACACTACAGGTCCTACTACTAAACGTCGATCTGTGTACGGGAAGAAGCTATGAAATGCGGCATATAAACAATAACAACGATTATTCAACGTACTATTGGAAACTTTCGATCCAAATAAGATTTTATAATATTTATGATTTGCTTTGGGCCATACTGACAATATGGCATGATTGATGATATAACGTTGAACCTCAAACGAGTTTTGAAAATGATACTCAAAGGTGACTTTGTATAGACAAGTTACAACATAGACAAGTTACAACATAGAATCAACTTAACAGTAAGTAAAGGTTTGTAGAACGTACCTGTTCGAGGTATGGTGACCGGTGGATTCATCTTTTTCAGCAACAAAAACTTTACAATATAGCACATGAAATACAAATAGCCGCATTTAGCGCGAGGTTAGCACTATTTTCCATCTAGCAAACTGACCTGTAGAAGAGGTGTTAAACCATCCAGCAAACTGACCTATAGAAGAGGTGTTAAATGGCTATGAAACTATCCCAAACCCTACCCCTACTCTAACCCCTAACACTAACCGCAACTCTAACTCTAACCCCAACCCCAACCCCTAACCTTAACCCTAACCGAATTAATAAAAAAATCCCCCAAAAAACGACTTTAGAAAATCGATAGGGCGGTTTGCTGGATGGAAAAAAGTGCTAACGTTAGTGTGAATTAAGCGTGCATAAACCGTGAGTGGGAATGTGGGTACGCAAAATTATCCTAAGTTATCCTAAGAAGATGTTTTCGTTCGGTCCAATGAAACACAAGTATTACTCACAAATACAAACGTTATCCATAAATGCACATGGTCTCTGAGGGAGATAGGCCTCTGACCTTTCGTGATGATTGTTAAGTTTGTTGACAAGTTATGGTAACACTACACGGTAACATTATATCTTAGTAATAGACATGTAGACATACAGAAGTCGTGCTTTGTCTGGGTTTTGTAGTCAACGTGTAAACATATGAGAGAGACTTTATAAATAATTACTGAAACGTGTTTGGTGTTTTCATTGATATTACATTGGTGCCGTGACCAGGATAAATGGCTACATCGAATAGATCTAGTGTTGCTCTCCCGGAGTCCTTTTCTGACGGGGATATTGAGTTTTGGTTGCGTAAATATGAGCTTTGCTCCGAGGCAAATGAGTGGAAAGAGGATATTATGTTGAAACGCTTGCCTACTCTTCTATGTGGAAAAGCATTCGCCGTGTTTGAACGACTTGAAGGAGAACAGAAAGCGTCGTTTAAGAATGTGCGTGAAGCGCTCGTTGCCGCTTTCGGAGGAGATGCGACCGGGATGCATATAGCAATGATGGAATTTCGCAAACGAGAGCGTAAACCTGAGGAGGATATTCAAGTCTTCGCGTACAATTTGGAGTCATTACTAAGACGCGCAATGCCTAAACTGGGCGCAAACGAACGTGATATTCTGCTGAAACAACAATTTATCGAAGGGATAAATCCTGCGTTAAAGAAAGAACTTTTACAGCAGCCGAAAATTTCCTATGGCGAAACGTTGTCGGCGGCGCAACAGCTAGATTTGGCCATTAAATTTTCGTCAAACGATAGCGTAAGCCATATCAACCAAACTACCGCAAGCTCGACCGCAAGTAGATATCAACCTGAATCGCAGTCAACTATTATCACCCAGATGATGGCAAATATGGAAATATTGACCGAAAAAGTCAACCAGCTGTCAGACAACATGAGCAGAGTAAACGCGGTCGCATGAAGAATTCCCCCACAGCCACGATCCAGGGCATGTTTCCGTTGCGGCAATCAAGGCCACATTGCTCGAGAATGTCGGAATCCATCTCGTGCCAGAACAGAGCATCGACAGCGCGAGACGGAAAATTATTGTTTCGTTTGCGGGCAAATCGGACATTTTGCTCGTCAATGCCCCAATAGATTCCAGTCCCCAGCAGCGCGTCAACAGGGAAACTACAACGGGTCGACCCGCTATTAGGCCGCGAGTCTACCCGCAACGATATGGCCTTACCAATTATTGACATTGTATCCAACCGACCGGAGTTTTTATCGAAGCACGTATTGAGGGACGTGAGCAAAAATGTTTAGTAGATACAGGAGCCTCCGTATCTTTAGTAAGTCGTCAATTGGTCCCTGGTCCTTTGACACCATGTTCTCTGAAAGCACGAGGAATCGGCGGTGAAGAACTTCAAATTCTTGGTCAAGCAAAACTACAGTTCCAGTTGGGTAAGGACACATTTGTTCATTCGTTTGTTGCCGTTGGCATGACTAATACTTGTATTTTGGGTGCTGACTTTCTAAAAGCTAGCAAAATGCTGGTCGATGTAGGAAATTCGAAGTTGTCCTGGCCGGGTGGTAACGTGCCACTAGCTGTAGAGCTTACAACCCCATCAGTCAATAAGTTGAGTGTCTTATTGGAGAATTATGCGGATGTGTTTGTCAACGGTCCGAATGATCCGTTGGGTTGTACTCGAGACACGGAACATTTGATTGACACGGGAGACAGTCGACCAATCAAGCAACGCCCCTACCGAATCCCTGTACACCTCCAAACCGTTGTTAATCAACAAGTTGCTGAAATGCAAGAACGAGGTCTCATTAGATCAAGCACTAGTCCCTGGTCATCACCAATTGTGTTAGCGCCGAAAAAGGATGGAAATTATCGGTTTTGTGTAGATTTTCGTCGGGTAAATTCGGTGACGAAGAAGGATGCGCAACCAATGCCACGAATCGATGACATTCTCGATCAGTTGGACGGAGCAAGATGCTTTAGTACACTTGATCTTGCATCTGGCTATTGGCAGGTTCCGTTACGAGAGGAAGACCGGGAGAAAACAGCGTTCTCGGTTGGGGTGAACCATTCCCCCCCCCCCCCCCCCC